ATATATATATATATATATATATATATATATATATATATATATATATACATATATATATAATCTAACTATTTCCAGTTCGTTGAATATCTGTTGAGTATAAAACCGTAGTGAAATAAAAATTAAATAAATTTTCATTCAATACATTCACCCGTTAAAGTTAAGATGCTAAATTGTAGCCAAAAGGGATATTTCTATTTCGATAACGTAAATATTATAATGAAAAAAAAAGTTCATATCAATCAGGAATCGAAAAACTTCCGGTACACAGTTTAAGAAAAAAAAATTATGATAAAATCAAATTTGATTGGTCACTCATAAGAAAATTACAAAACCCGAAATATAAAAATCATATGGTTGACCGAACACAAAGATTGGATTCAGAATCTTTTCAATCAGGCTTAAAAAAAAGAATGCTTTTAATATTCTTAACCATTCTAAATCGAAGAATAATCGTACGAAGAAGAATAAAAAAAAAAAAAATTTTATTCCATTGTTCGCGCTCGTGTAATATCGTTTGCTATTTTTAATATCGTCTGCTTAAAAACGATAATTCCGCTGTAAATAAAAATGAACAAACTATGTGTTATGTTGTTTGTTTGGTAGATAAATAGCAGGGATAAAGTTCAAAAAACTTTGGTCAGTTCCATGTTTAATCGAGGATAAAATAATAAGAAAAAAAACATTTTACCTTGGCTGATGTTAGTCTAACAGCACTTCTGTAGATTAAAATCGTAGGTCACGTCCGTTACTCTAGATTAGCTAAAATCTCTGGAAGTAAGTAATTATAATGCTCTCTGGTTGATTAGATAAGTGCTTGTCTTCGTAAATGGTCAGAACAAATATTTATTTATTAGAATTGCTTCCTTATTCATCAATTACTTCTTATTTATTTTCTTAAAATACCATTGTAGCACATGCATGTAATTTATGAATTGTTGCTTCTTCTTAATAATGCTCTTCATTTGTTTACATCACTTTATATTGTAATAATATAATAAAAGTTATAATATATTAAATTCAATTATAAAAATCCTATTTATTCATAAATTGTTTTTTTCATAAATTACTTTATTAAAAATTTAAAAATTACTTCTTTTTTATTTTCTTAAAAAACCATTCTAGTACATGCATGTAATTTATGAATTATTTTTCTTTTTTTTAATAATGTCTTCATTTCTTTATAAGTTATAAAAAATATATTAAATTCACTTAGGAAAAGCCTATTTATCCATAATTTTTTTTTTAATTTTCTTAAAAAGCCATTCTAGTACATAAATGTAATTCGGGAACTGTTGCTTCTTATTTTTAACAATGCTCTTCATTTATTTATATCAATATGCATTATAAATAATATATTAAATTCAATTATAAAAAGCCTATTTATCCATAAATTACTTTATTTTAAATTCATATATATATATTTTTTTTTTAATTTTTTTTTTTACTTTCTTAAAAACCATTCTAGTCCATACATGTAATTTATGAATTGTTTAATAATGCTCTTTATTTATATCAACCAATATTATAAATAATATATTAAATTTAATTATAAAACGCCTATTTATTCAAAAATTACATTTTTTTTTATAAATTCATCAATTGCATTTTTTTATTTTCTTAAAAAACCATTCTAGTACATGTATGAAATTTATGAATTGTTACTCCTTCTTCTTAATAATGCTCTTCATTTCTTTATATCATTATATATTATAAATAATGTATTAAATTCAATTATAAAAAGGCTACTTAATCTTAAATTATTTTATTATAAATTCATAAATTACTTTTTTTTATTTAATTAGCATTTGAATTTCATTCCGCATCCATACAAAATGCATTTATTATTTATGTATAATATACCACTGTAAATATGTATATCGCCTAAATATTTCTTTTAAATCTAAATTTTCACAATCTTTACTGATTAAAGTATTATGAAAATATATCCCATAATGAGAAAACATTTCAGTTCGACTTTTGAGAAAAAAGATTTAGGTATAAATTTAAAAAAAAAAAAAAAAAAAAAAAAAAAAACATTCGACTCGCGGCTAAGTGGCAGCGTGAGCCGTTGACGAACATTAGGGATATTACTACTACATCCCACCACATCACAATGACTAGAACTGAGTTGCTCCTATACAGTTTGGGAATGATGTGGTTGAGAAGTCTGACTGGGCTCCATGAACGCTCTACAGTCATATGGCAAGACAATCGGCCATTCTGGCCCCAAATATTAGGACTGAGGTTCAATTCGCAGGTGGCTTTGTGGTAAACACTGTTTAAAAAACGAGGAGGCTCGATGGCGTTTGGGATGTTCAGCCTCTTGCCTCTTTAGTTGGATTACATGGCGTGAGTTTCTCTTATACGATCAGTAAATGCGGGTTAGTTCTCACCTAAAAAGGCCTCCCGGAAGGCACTGTCATCCTTCTTCAGCATCACGGAGCCAAGTCAGACTTCTACCTATGGGTGCTTCATCACGACCAAAGCTTTCCCTCCATCCAGTAGACTATTCATGGTATGTCCGTTCCGCACTGCAGGACACCGAGGAGTAGACACAACAATGCATATATTACTATTACTCTAGAAAAAGGATAGCAAACCTTTTCGGACACGGGTCAAAAATGGAAAGAAAAAAAAGTTTGGCGGGCCAAGATACATTTTTCTAAAATTTTAAACACATTATACAAGTA